AGTGTTAGGGGGGAAAATGTAAATTCGGGAACTAGGAGCTGACGTGGAGAAGTTTGTTAGAAGGATAGTAGGAGTGAGGGAATTTAAGGGTGTACGGGGACAGGAGGAAGGGCAGTCAGTTATTCTAGAGTGCGTGAGCATTGGGAGGGTGGGACCTCGAAATTCCCCAGGCCTTCCTCTGCCATTAACGTTTTTCTTCTTTTGAAATTGCCTAGTTGTAATCAGCCATGGCCACCGAGTTTATGGTGGATTGTTAGTGAATAAAAGGAGCATACACCCCCTTTGCGCTGTTATTTGCCAATCTTTTTCTCTTTTCTTTCGCGGATATTCTCTCTAACACGCAGGACTCTAACAGGGGATAATACAAATAATTTAATCTTTACATTCTAGCATCGTCTTAAAGTTGGTCAAGAAATGTTCAAGCAGAACCAATATATTGTGATCTGTGCTTCTATAGGTGCAAATTTGTCCTTCTATAGGTCTGATAGGTATATAAGAAATTTGATTTCTGATAACTCTAGCCTTTTTGGTTTTCATAACCTCTTTTTATTGATACTTGTTGTTTACTTCTCTGTGATCCTCCAATATGTGGAAGATACCTTTTTTGATAAGAACAACCGGAAGATATCAGTTTTCTCCTTTTTGACTTAGATAGGAAGTTTTCTTGTTTTCCTCTGCGCCTCAGAAGATCACATTTGTCATTATTAGTTGAGAGTATGATATATGTTTGTATATTTATTCATTTTTATAAGTTTCCTAATTGATTTACCTCTGGACTTAAGCAATATTGTCTATGATTTTACATGGATTCAATAAATAAATAGTGATCCAGATTTGATCATACTAACCGTGTCATGCCGTTTTTCTAAATTCTTATTGCAGAGGCCGCAACTTGTAAAAGGAAATATGCAGCTTTTCTCTGTGGATCAGCAACGTAGTCAGTCTCTTGAAGCACATGCTGCATCGTTTGCCACATTTAAAGTGTGATTCCGTAATTTCTCCTATATGGTTTATTTCTGTGTTGTTTGAGTGGTGTCATTAATTTTTTTGTTGTATACAGGTTGCAGGGAATGAGAATCCTTCAATTCTCATTTGTTTTGCATCCAGGAGCTTCAATGCTGGACAAGTTGCATCAAAGATGCATATTATTGAACTTGGTGCCCAGCCAGGTTAGCTGATCTTTTATTGGAAAATCCTTTGCGTATTAATACACCAGGCACTAGCACATCTACTCAGATGACAATTGTCCCTACCTTTATTTCTTTAGTTTCTGGTTGTTGTTAGTTCTTTTCTTGCTTCGTAGACTTTATGCTTATCTATATACTGTTTCCTGGTGCTAATGTTTGGAACTTGTTCTCAGGAAAGCCTTCATTTACTAAGAAGCAAGCAGATCTATTTTTTCCTCCTGATTTTGCTGACGACTTTCCGGTGTCAATGCAGGTGTGTTATAGTGCCTTATTTTTAATTCTTTAACCATTAGATTTTTCACCATAAATTAATTGCTTTCTTCTTTTCCTGGTGGAGGCAGATATCAGAAAAATATGGTTTGATATACGTGATCACAAAGCTAGGTCTTTTATTTGTCTATGACCTAGAGACAGCAACTGCAGTTTATAGAAACCGAATTAGTCCAGATCCCATCTTTCTGACTACAGAAGCTTCATCTGTTGGGGGCTTTTATGCTATCAATAGGCGTGGGCAGGTGCTGCTTGCAACTGTAAATGAACAAACAATTGTCTCTTTTGTTAGTGGTCAGGTATGCTTTTTAGTTTTAGTTTTAGTTTTAGTTGTTGGATTTTTTTTGTTTGTTTTTGTTTTTCAAATGTCTAGCTTCTGGAACAAAATTCATGCATTTTATAATGTTTGGTGATTTTGTAGCTAAACAATTTGGAACTTGCTGTTAGTCTTGCCAAAAGAGGAAACCTTCCTGGTGCAGAAGACCTGGTAAGTGTACAGTTTCTCTATTTTGCATTTATTGCGTGGGTTACCACTGTTTGAAAGCCTTTAAATTATTATTCGGTTTAATGTGCAGAGTTGAAAAAAAAGAATTATTCAGTATTTTTCTTTTATGAGTAGTGTGAATAATTCACATAGTTGTACTTGCCATGAATGAAGGAAATCCTGTCTCTATGAGTTATTTATTGATATAATTGACTGTGTTCTAATCGTCGTAATGTCATCAGATGTGAGTTTTCTAACCCAGCCATTTTTCATATGAAATATCTTTTTTATATTTCCTGTTGAATTTCTCCAGCACGATAAATCATTTGCTAACAAAAAAAAGACGAGCATCTTCAAACCACCAACCCCGGGTCTCTTTTTTCATCTATAAAAACCATGAGACTGGCTCAAATCAACTTTTTCAGGGTATTTCATGGCACTTCCTATAAATTATTTAATTTTGTTCATTACTAAGGCCGAGATCAACACCTGTGAGGTTATGTGTGGGTGTGGCTTTACTTGGTGCTACTTAACTGCATCTAGAAAATTTTATCATCTGGCTGTTATGCTCAGGTTGTCCAGCGATTCCAAGACTTGTTTGCTCAGACAAAGTATAAGGAGGCTGCAGAGCTTGCTGCAGAATCTCCACAGGGGATACTTCGCACTCCTGACACAGTTGCTAAATTTCAGGTGTAAATACAAAGTTTCTTGTCGGTTTATGTTTATTCCATTGCTTAATAGTTCTCATTTTTATTGTTAAAGTATTAAACTATTATTAACTCACCTCTTAATAGCTTAAGCTTTTGGGATGGATTGGTAAATTAACATGGTATCAGAGCGGGAGGTCCTGAATTTAAACTCCCGTAATTGCACTATTTATCCCTATTTAAATTGTCATTATGTGTTGGGTTTTTAATATATTTCGGGCGGGAGGTCCTGAGTTTAAACCCCCGTAATTGCACTCTTTATCCCCATTTAAATTGTCATCATGTGTTGGGTTTTTAATATATCTCGGGCTTAAATATTCACGTGTTGGGCTTTCCAATTAATTTACCCACACGATTGCCCATTGTCCAGCCCATACGTGAGGGGGAGTGTTAAAGTATTAAACTATTATTAACTCACCTCCTAATAGCTTAAGTTTTTGGGATGGATTGGTAAACTAACATTTATTTTTGACATATATGTGTCCCTTGCACAGGGTTCTTACATTTTACGATCATATACTCTCTTCTAGGGATTTTGATTTGGTTATGTTGTTTATCGTTGCAGAGTGTCCCTGTGCAATCTGGGCAGACACCGCCATTGTTACAATACTTTGGAACTTTGTTAACCAGGGTAAAACTAAATGCTTATGAATCATTGGAATTATCCCGTCTAGTTGTGAACCAAAACAAGAAAAATCTTTTGGAGAATTGGTTGGCAGAGGACAAGTTTGAATGTAGCGAAGAGCTTGGAGATCTTGTGAAGGTGTGATATGGTTATGAAGTTAAATTACCGTTCTTACTTCTTGATACTTTGGTTGTGCTTCTATTTTGGCCTTTCCTTCTATTGGTATAGTCGTCCAAATTATTAAACTAATGTATTAGCTGATTTAATGGTATCAGATTTGCTTCTCAAGACCAATTTTTGTTGATAATGAGTATCAGAACGTTATCAAGTCATTGTTTGTTCTAGCTGAATGCATTAGGGTGGGTTAAAACATTTTTTTTGCTTGGCTGTTGTAAAACGGTGATAATGGAACCGAAGTATGTGTCTACTTGATAAGTGCTACATGACTATCAATCCCTTCTCTTTGGCTGAAAAGGTGTCAAGGCTTCTAACATTTAAAAGAAAATCGCCAACATTGCTAGAAAAACCCAACTTTTTAGCAGAGAGATGCCAAAAGACTTTTCACCTTCGGAATGTAAACCGTTTTGAAATACTTAGGGTTCGTTTGGAAGGTATACTCAAACCATGATTTTTGATTCTGACGTTTGAAATTCAAATTTTTTTGGGAGGAAAGTGCTGTAGCAGAATTAATGATTTGAGTTTGAGTATATGAAACAAATAGGGCCTTATTATAGAGTTATCTGTTTCCTTTCTGACGTTATGAATTATGAACTGTATCTTTCTTTCATAATGCAGACGGTGGACAATGATCTTGCTCTAAAAGTATACATTAAAGCCAGGGCAACCCCAAAAGTTGTTGCAGCATTTGCTGAGAGAAGGGAATTTGACAAGATTTTGATATACTCAAAGCAGGTTACTTATATCAGTTCTCTTTCTTTGTCTTTTTTAGCTGCTAGATTTGTACATGGTATATTTTGTCAGATTCTATTTTTAAAACAAGCAACAGTTTTCATGTTTTGTTGTGCCACTTTTGTCATTATATATGCGTAACTATATGTTGATTCTTGGTGATGCTGATCATAGTCGATTCTATTGGTTTTTTGTTGTCGTCGTAGGTTGGATACGCACCTGATTACTTGTTCCTTCTGCAAACAATTTTGCGGTCAGATCCACAGGTATGTGCATTCTTCTATGATTGAGATTTGGGGAATAGGTTACGTTTTTTATTTTATTTTTATTTTTATTTTTATAATAACTAAAGTGGCTACATATCTCGAATTCTTTGGACCACCCAAACATTCTGATACAGTGTATTACGAACTATTCTTTGTCAGGGGGCTGTTAATTTTGCTTTGATGATGTCTCAAATGGAGGGAGGTTGTCCAGTTGACTACAATACAATTACAGATCTCTTCCTTCAGGTTTGGTTTGGACATTTACGTTTGCCTTTTTGTGTTAGGTTCGATTAAATTCTTGTTTTACATTACTAAATTAACTGAGTTTGTTAGGTCAAGCTTATTATGAGTTTTTATTAATTTAAGTATCGTGCCTCTCCCATTTCGGCGTGTTACTTAAATCTCTTTCTTGGACATAAAAGTTATATATCTCATTGTCATTTCAACTGAGAATTTTATTGTGTTTCTTTTGTTATTTGCAGCGGAATTTGATTCGTGAGGCGACAGCCTTTTTGCTGGATGTGCTGAAACCAAATTTACCTGAACATGGGTTCCTTCAGACAAAGGTTCATCACTTTCTCTTTTTTTATTTATTCTTTTAGGGGATTTTATTTTGTATTAAAGTTTGCGTCCATACTTTTTACACATTAGTTTGTTTGTTTACATTGTCAAGGTTTTGGAAATTAATCTTGTGATGTTCCCCAATGTTGCGGATGCTATATTGGCTAATGGAATGTTCGGTCACTATGACCGTCCACGTGTTGCACAACTCTGTGAAAAAGCTGGTTTGTATTTGCGTGCCTTACAGGTATGAAATCTCTGAGCATTTTTGAGAAATTCTCTCAAGGTTGGTTGACTATTTTCTGTACTAATTGGCCTCTCAATTCGGCAGCACTACTCGGAGTTGCCTGATATCAAACGTGTCATTGTGAATACGCATGCCATTGAACTATCGGTGGGTACTTAAATACTTGATGTATTTTGACCAATTTGCATACATATGTATACAATGTGTTATCTAATTTTGAGGTGTGTTTAGGCACTTGTAGAGTTCTTTGGAACCCTTTCCAAAGAATGGGCTCTAGAGTGCATGAAGGATCTTCTAGTCGTCAACCTTCATGGCAATCTTCAGATTATTGTCCAGGTGAAGTCGTGGGTTCTTTGAGCTGTTTGTGATTTTTGTTTATTGAAGTGAGGCTCACGGAATAGTTTTGGACCTTTAATGCAGATTTCCAAAGAGTATTCAGAGCAATTGGGTGTAGATGCATGCATAAAATTATTTGAGCAATTCAAGTCCTATGAAGGATTATACTTCTTCTTGGGCTCATATTTGAGTTCCAGGTACTCCATATATTTTTTAGTTGGAGAAAATAAAACTGGGATTCACGCTGTATTCATGTCCTGAAATTATTTCCTTCAAAATTGTTTATCTCTTGTAGTGAGGATCCCGATATCCACTTCAAGTACATTGAAGCAGCTGCAAAAACTGGACAAATTAAGGAAGTGGAACGTGTTACTCGGGAATCAAACTTCTATGATCCAGAAAAGACAAAGAACTTTCTAATGGAAGCAAAGCTCCCAGATGCACGCCCTCTGATTAATGTCTGTGATCGTTTTGGTTTTGTTCCAGATCTTACCCATCACTTATACACGAACAACATGCTTCGATATATTGAAGGTTATGTTCAAAAGGTAAATATGTCAAATGCACATGTTTAATATGTCCAGTGGACTTCGTGTATAAAAAGGAATTAAATTCATGCCCCCTCCCCCGCTTTCCCTCTCTAGTGCTTCTACTTTATGTGATTTTTTTAACATCAAGAGGAAATTGAAGATTGAGTACTCTTATTCCTTTTTTTTTTTGCCTGAATAGGTCAATCCAGCAAATGGCCATCTTGTCGTAGGACAGCTCCTAGATGATGAGTGCCCTGAGGATTTCATCAAAGGTCTTATTCTATCAGTTCGTTCTCTCCTTCCAGTTGAACCACTAGTGGAGGAATGTGAAAAGAGGTGGGATTTGTTCCTTATGCTTTGTTTGTTTATTTATTTTTTCATCTGTCTCCTTTCTTCATATAGGTACTCTTTCTTTTTGTTGCAGGAACCGTCTCCGCTTGCTTACTCAATTCTTGGAGCATCTTGTGAGTGAAGGAAGGCAAGATGTACATGTTCATAATGCTCTGGGTAAAATCATAATTGACAGCAACGACAATCCAGAGCATTTTCTCACAACTAACCCATTTTATGATTCTCTTGTTGTTGGTAAATATTGTGAGAAAAGGGATCCCACCCTTGCTGTCGTTGCTTACCAAAGAGGGCAATGTGATGATGAACTAATAAATGTAACGAATAAAAACTCCTTGTTCAAACTTCAAGCAAGGTTTGTTTGTTTTGTTTTGTTTTTTGTTATTTTTTTGTTTTTGTTTTGGTTTTTTGTTTTTGTTTTTGTTTTTGTTTTTTGTTTTTTGTTTTTTTTTTTCATTTTAGCTCAAAGTGCTTTAATTGGGTGCGCTGATGCTATTGGCCTTCTATATTAGGTATGTGGTGGAAAGAATGGATGGTGACCTATGGGAGAAAGTTCTTAATCCCGAGAACGAGTATAGAAGACAGCTTATTGATCAAGTTGTATCTACAGCTCTGTCTGAGAGCAAGAGTCCTGAGCAGGTTTCTGCGGCTGTTAAAGCTTTTATGACTGCTGACCTTCCACACGAGTTAATTGAGCTTCTTGAAAAGATTGTACTTCAAAACTCTGCTTTTAGTGGGAACTCCAATCTTCAGAATTTGCTAATTCTTACTGCCATCAAGGCTGATCCATCCAGAGTTATGGATTACGTTAATAGGTTAGACAATTTTGATGGACCTGCAGTTGGAGAGGTGGCTGTGGAAGGACAGTTGTATGAAGAAGCATTTGCCATCTTCAAGAAGTTCAATTTGAATGTTCAGGCTGTGAATGTCCTATTGGATAACATTCGAACCATTGAGCGAGCTGTAGAATTTGCATTCCGCGTTGAAGAGGATGCTGTTTGGTGCCAGGTGGCTAAGGCCCAACTACGAGAAGGTTTGGTCAGTGATGCTATTGAGTCTTTCATCCGTGCAGATGATGTAACCCAGTTTTTGGATGTCATACGTGCTGCTGAGGATGCAAATGTATACCATGACTTAGTGAGATATCTCCTGATGGTAAGGCAGAAAACTAAAGAGCCGAAGGTTGACAGCGAACTCATCTATGCATATGCAAAGATTGATCGGTTGGCTGAGATTGAAGAGTTAATTCTTATGCCAAATGTTGCTAATCTCCAAAATGTTGGAGATCGTCTGTATGATGAAGCATTATATGAAGCAGCTAAGATCATATACTCATTTATCTCTAACTGGGCTAAGCTGGCTATTACTCTTGTCAAGCTAAAGCAATACCAAAACGCTGTTGACGCAGCTCGAAAAGCCAACAGTGCAAAAACATGGAAGGAGGTTTGTTTTGCATGTGTTGATTCTGAGGAATTTCGCCTGGCTCAGATTTGTGGTCTGAATATCATCATTCAGGTACTTTTCTTCTTAGTTTAACTGTTTTTTTAAAATTAAATTACAAAAGTCAAATTTTAGTGCAATGGTTTTTTATGTTACTTGTGGCCCCTGCAGCATAAAAGGTGCGAAGCCCTCGCATGCATTAAGATGTTTTGTTTTACTAAAGAGGAAATCAGTTGTAACTTGTGAAGAGTCTTCTGTTCTTTTAGTGCTTATGCCCATGCATCTATTATCAGGTGGACGATTTGGAAGAAGTCAGCGAGTATTACCAGAACAGGGGATACTTTAATGAGCTCATTTCTCTGATGGAAAATGGCCTAGGATTGGAACGTGCGCATATGGGCATCTTCACTGAGTTAGGAGTTCTATATGCAAGATACCGTCCTGAGAAGCTCATGGAGCACATTAAACTGTTCTCCACCCGTCTTAATATTCCCAAGCTTATACGAGCCTGTGATGAACAGCAGCACTGGAAGGAACTTACTTATCTATACATCCAGTATGATGAATTTGACTATGCCGCAACCACCGTTATGAACCACTCCCCAGAAGCTTGGGACCACATGCAATTTAAAGATGTGGTTGTCAAAGTTGCAAATGTTGAGCTCCACTACAAGGCTGTACGCTTTTACTTGCAAGAACATCCTGATCTTATAAATGATCTTCTAAATGTGCTTGGTCTTCGTGTAGACCATAGCCGTGTAGTGGAGATAATGCGAAAGGTTTGCTTACCCCTTTTTTTTGCCACTTCTCTCTTTTAAGCTTTTGGAGGGTGTTTTGTCTATTGTTTATTGGTTTCAATCCTTTTGAATTTCAGGTTGGTCACCTCCGCCTTGTGAAGCCATACATGGTTGCAGTTCAGAGTAATAATATTTCTGACGTAAATGAAGCTCTGAATGAAATATACATAGAGGAGGAAGACTATGATAGATTACGTGAATCAATTGAGCTGCACGACAACTTCGACCAGATAGGTCTTGCACAGAAGGTATGTTTGAACTTTTCTTCAGTTGTGAGAAGTTTTAATGCTAACTTGGATTCATAATTTTTACCACTAATTGATGTAGATTGAGAAGCATGAGCTTCTTGAAATGAGGCGTGTTGCTGCTTATATTTACAAGAAAGCTGGAAGATGGAAGCAGTCTATTGCCTTGTCAAAGAAAGACAATCTTTATAAAGACGCCATGGAGACCTGCTCACAGTCTGGTGATCGTGAACTTTCAGAGGACTTGCTTATCTATTTTATCGAGCAGGTCTGACTTGACATATCCAAGTAAAAGAGGGGAATTCTTTAGCCAAAAAAAAAAAAAATGAGGGGAAGAGAAGAAATAGTTGCTAATATTTTTAGTTAATCGTAGTCTCGTTCCACTCGGGGATTTCTTTTTGTTTGGGCCGGGTCTAAATTCTTAACTTCAGTTTTCGTTTGAGTTTATTCTGTTCATGACTAGTCAGCAATTTTGCTTTTATCTTGACAATCAGTGTTTCCATATCTCCGAACTCTACATCTATTTTGACTTGTCTTTGCTAAGAACGTATTTGTTTTCTTGGATTATTTGGGATTTTGGTGTGATGGGAGGTCTTCATTATGAGTTTCTTTTTCCTTTTTGTCTCTACTTATTGTTTTATAGTTGCATAGCTAAAGTTGGCGTTCACTCAAGAATATTTTCTTGTCTAATTCTATATGCAGGGAAAGAAAGAGTGTTTTGCATCATGCCTCTTTGTTTGTTACGATTTGATCCGGCCAGATGTTGTCCTTGAGCTAACATGGCTGAACAATATGATCGAATTTGCCTTCCCATATCTCTTGCAGGTTTTCTTTGGCCCCCACCTTTTCCTTTGACGTATAAAATTTTCAGTGTTTCTGTTTTGACCTTTATTCAATCATGCAACATTCCAGTTTATTCGAGAATATACAAGCAAGGTGGATGAACTCATCAAGGACAAAATTGAAGCACAAAATGAGTTGAAAGCTAAAGGGAGGGAGGAGAAGGAAGTAGCTGCTCAACATGTATGCCTGTTTTTAATCCTTTCTTGTCATTTATAGCTTTCTTACTTTGTCTTCTAGGGTTATTATTCAAATATTTCCGATGTGGATTCAATTGTTTTGTCCATCCAATTTTTAGACACTCTGGATAATAATGAGAAAATAAACGGACAAGTGAACAACAAATATGTTTATGTTAGGAACCTAATATTTAGAAGTCTTTTTTAATAGTCTTAATAGCAGTATAAATAAAGGGCTTAGTAGCTCACTAGGGTAGGCTGTGATTTTGAGAGTTTTGAGAGTGAGATTAAAGAGAGCTAGTGGTCTCTCGAATACCATCAAATTAGGAGTCCCCGGAGTACTCGAATTCTCCGTTGTATCTTTTACTTTTCCGTTTGGTAGTGTAATTGGAGATTGGCTAGTGGGTTTTCAATAAAAGAATTCCCTTATTTTTATCCAATTCCTTGTTAATTTCAGGATTGATATGTGTATGTTTGGCTGTGGAAAACCTAGGTACCTAACAATGGTATCAGAGTACCGATCCATGGTGCCTAAACCTGCAAATTTGGAGAGGGTGACCACCGTGGAGGAGGGATTGGTGGTGGTTCAGGAGGTGGTCTAAGAGGTGGTGGCGGAGAGCCTGCCACAGATTCGGGGGGAGGTGGCTGGGTTGAGAGCGAGTATGGAGGGACTTCAGGGACAGATGGGGAAAGTTCGGACGCAGATGGGTGATTTGCAGGCGGCCCTCCGGCGAATGGAGGCGCTGTTGGTGGCGCGGCCGGTACCGGAAAGGGCTGACAGAGTTCGCGATGGCGAGCGGCGGAACGGAGAGCGGCAGCACCGCAATTTTTTGGGCGAAGAGATCACGGATCGCGACAACCTAGGCGGAATGGAGGAAGATTTCTGGCACGATCGTTGTCGGGGGGCGCTGATTCGCGAAGGCTGAGGTCGCGAGAGGGAGAACGATCGCCGGAGAGACGTGGGTCTCATGGAGGAGCGCGAGTTCTGTCGCGATCTGGGACTGGGTGGTCTGGATCTGCAACACGAGGGCTTGTTCGACGGCAGGAAGAGGGCGGAAGGAGGTCGCGACCGTTGGGAGAGGGCGGCGGAGCTTGGTCGGCGATGGGAATCGGAGTGGGAGCCGGAGTTAGAGGAGAGGCTTGCTTTGGGGTTGAGACGGCATGGGTACCCTCGGAACAGGGACCCCAACCTATATTCGGTCGTGGTTGGGGCTGATTCCGGCCTAGTTTGGACCGGGCCTCGCGATTCCGGTTCGTCTGAGGCTAATTCTGGCCGAATTCGGATTGGGTCGCGCAAGTTCGGCCCGATTTGGGAGGATTCCGGCGAAATTAGGGATGGGTCCCGAAATTCCGGCGGCCCTAGGTCTGGGTTTTACGATTCTGACGTGATTGAGACTGATTCCGATGATGTTAGGGTTGGGCCTCGAACTTACAGTAAGATAGCCAATTACAGCCAAATATGGACTGGATCTTCAAGTTTTGGCATGACTGGGGTTAGGTCTGGGCGATTTGAGTTCGGTGAGGGAGATTGGATTTTGCAATCTAATTTGAGAGAGCGAGTTAGGTCTTCTTGATTTGGAGTCATAATTGTAGGAAATCTCGGATGAGATATCATAGGAGGATTTTTAAGAGATCTTCTAGTATAGGAAATCAGGGAAGATTACCGAGTCCTAAGGGGCTGATCTGTTTTGGATTCTTTCCTGATTTTATGTAACAGAAAGTATCTATAAATAGAGTGTAGAATAGCTTGTAATTATTCATTCGTTCATAATAAAAATTCTTTCATTATTCTTCATGGTATCAGAGTCGTAAAGCTAGGGTTTTTGGGAAAAATTAGGGCAACCTTAATCGCTGGTTTCCGACTGGTTTATCTCTCTCTCCCAGCCTTAATCGCTGGTTTATTTCTTTCTCTCCCAGCCTTAATCGCTGCTTTATTCCTCTCTCTCCTAGCCTTAATCGCTGGTTTATTCCTTTCTCTCCCAGCCTCAATCGCTGGTATTCCATCAGCTTTAATCGCTGATTTAGTCTTTCTTATTCTTCACTACTGTCCAATCATATTCAATAATGACGGATATCACCTCTTCGGCTCAATCACCTTCGATAGTCGAGGATGAACAGGCAGCACGGATCACAACAGAACTTCAGAATATCCAGGCAGCATACAGATTAAATGGAAAAAATTATTTGAAGTGGTCTCAATTGGTTCGAACTTTTTTGAAAGGAAAAGGAAAGCTAGGCCATTTACTGGAGCGGGACCGGAAAGAGGAGCTGCAGGTGCAAACGCATGGGATGCTTGCATGTTTCTGCCAACAGCAAAGACAATCTGGGATGCTCTCTACCAAACCTATTCAAAGGTCAATGATGTAGCTCTCATATATGATATCAAGACAAAGACAACAGGCGCAAGACAAGGGTCGAAAACCGTGACAGAATACGCCAATGTTCTGCAAAATCAGTGGCAAGAGCTGGACTATTATAGGACAATTGATCTGAACTGCAGCAAGTGTGCAGTAGCCATCAAAAAATTCATAGAACGAGATCGGGTATATGATTTTTTGGCTGGCTTAAATTTTGAGTTTGATCTTGTACGTATTCAAATTTTGGGCAGGTCTGAAGTTCCATCGTTGACTGAAACAATCTCCCTGGTCCGTGCGGAAGAGAGTCGCAGAGGCATCATGCTAGATCCACCTTCAACAGAAAATTCTGCCCTTCTAAGCTCTAAGTCACAAGGGCTAATGCTTGATGGTACTGCTGTAGACAAGCCTAGCCGACCAAATGCTCACAAGGATCGTGATGAGATGTGGTGCACATACTGTAAGAAACCACGACATACCAAGGAGCGATGCTGGAAATTGCATGGGAAACCCTCCACAAACAGCCGTGAATGGGGACAGAGAGGAGGACAATCAGCATCAGGTTACAGGCAGGCTCATATGTCCACTCAGGATTCAACCCACAGCTTTGGAGGATTTAGTATGGAGGAAATTGAAAAACTCAAGGGCCTGGTAGGAAAAGTGGAAAATCAGGGACAAAAATCCAGTCCGTAGGCATCAACTCAGGGTATGTGTTCATTGACATTTTCAGGTGAGACTCTAATCTCTCCTGGATTAAATACTTTAGGTAATGAGTTTAGGAATGCTTGGATCCTTGATTCTGGTGCCACTGACCACATGACTCGTACCTGTAGCCTATTTAAAACCTATACACCCTGTTCGAGCAACCGGAAAATTATAGTTGCTGATGGTTCTGCAACCACAATGGCAGGAGTAGGAGATATTCAAATCACCCCAGAATTAGTACTTCAAAATGTTCTCCATGTTCCCCAACTTTCAACAAATTTGGTTTCCATACAAAAACTTACCCGAGATCTAACTGGTTGTGTTATATTCAATGCTTCTTCTTGTGAATTTCTGGACCTGGGGTTGGGGAAGAGGATTGGACTTGCTAAGGAGCATAATGGACTCTATTACTTGAATGTATCAAGTCAATCGGAATTGAAAAAACCCGTCGTGCTCTCATTGTTTTCTTCTTCCAATAAAGATGTTATTTGGTTACATCATAGGCGTCTAGGTCACGTGTCTTTTTCAGCATTGAAAATAATGTTTCCTACCTTGTTCAAGGGTTTGGATGTTCAATCCTTTCATTGTGATATTTGTGAGTATGCAAAACACACTCGTGTACCTTTTCCCATCAGTAATAATAAATCTTCATTTCCCTTCTTTTTGGTACATAGTGACATTTGGGGACCATCCACCATTCCAAGTGTCTCCGGGTATAGGTGGCTTGTGAGTTTCATTGATGATTGTACGAGGGTCTCCTAGATATATTTGCTCAAAAACAAATCTGATGTGAGCCATATTTTTCCCACCTTTCATGCAATGATCCAAAACCAGTTTGGCACAAAAATAAAAAATATTCGCTCTGATAATGCCCGTGATTACTTCAACCAAACTTTGACTCCATATTTTCAAAAAGAGGGAATTATACATGAATCATCTTGCATTACCACTCGACAACAAAATGGAGTGGCAGAGAGAAAAAACCGACATCTTCTCGAGTGTACTAGAGCCCTATTATTCTAACAAAATGTACCCAAGTCCTTTTGGGGAGAAGCTGTACTCACGTCAGCCTATGTTATAAACAGAATTCCTTCCAGAGTCTTGGGGTTTAAGAGTCCACTGGAGACTTTTTCTCAATTCTACGACACTCGAAAGTCCTTCAACCTTACTCCTCGGGTATTCGGGTGCACTTCATTTGTTCATATTCATGGCCATAACATAGGAAAACTTGATCCTAGAGCTATTAAGTGTATCTTTGTGGGGTACTCATCTTGATAGAAATCAAATTGGAAATCAAATAGAAATTGAAAGAAACAAATGACCTTTGATTCGAGAGTTAGGTCACACCTCTCCAATAATCTCTAATCTACTGCTAATACTTTCCAAAACATGCATGAGAAACCCTAATCTTCCCCTAACAACCTTCTTAAACTCAGTCTCCCACTAATGACCTTGTCAATTTACCAAACTGTCCCTGTTCTTAAACCTACGTCTATAATACGTTTTCAGCCCCTCCCTTCCAAGTCTAACATTACTCCCCTCCCAATGACACACCTTGTCCTCAAGGTGGAACCAAGGGAATTGCTCCCGAATCAAGTCAAACGGCTCCCATGTAGCTTCATAGTCCGGTAGATCTTTCCACTTGATAAGCACCTCCCTTCCGCCCGACATTCCTTGACGGACCCCGTCCATTGCCTCTGTTCCAAGACGACCTCCATGTCCTCAGTCAAAGTAGGCGGCAATGAAGGTGAGGAAGCATGATCTCCAATAGCACGTCTCAACTGGGACACATGAAACACTGGATGAATGGCCGACGTAGGTGGTAATCGCAAACGATATGCCACCTCACCAATGCGCTCTGTGATCTCAAACGGCCCAAAGTACCGAGCAGAAAGCTTCTCATTCCTCCGTTGTGCTAACGTCTTCTGTCGGTATGGTCGGAGCT